GCATTTTGACGGCATGAGGACACCGTGGTGCTGCGGTTGTTCACGTGGGAGGGGGTTAAAGCTCCCGCCGCGTTCGAAGCCGGCAGCGACTCGCAACGATTCCCACGAGGTGGCATTGCAAGACTGAAATCCCCTGGGCCTCTCTCTGGTGTTTGATTTCCTGGTGACGCTGGTGCCAAAGTTTGGGGTTTTTTTTATTTGTTTAATATTTATGCCAGTTGCGAAACCTCACGCCGGGGTGAGAAAGGTCTTGAAGCGTTGCCGGTCTCCGTCGGCGTCGTGCCAGGTCCTGCTTTTTGCAGAGAGGCTGGAGCAAAACGAGGTGAATCTGAGTCTTCTCGCGTCAAATTAAATTAAATCTTCACTTGGGTTGTTTCCATTTGGCCTTTGCTTCCCGGCTTTTTCCCTGGCGTCACTGCACGTTGAGCAGGAGACCTGGGGAGGGGGCTGCAGACCCTGTGGGCTCCCCAGCTCCGAAGAGCCTTTTCCCTTTGGAGCAACTCAGCCCCCAAGAGCTGTGTTTTCGGGCTGCCGTTGACGGGCAGCTGGGCTGACACCGGAGGAAACGGCTGCCTGTGGCAGGAGGGGAAGGAAATTGCCTTTTTTTTTGAGCTGAGTCACAGCCCAAGGAGGGAGCGGACGAGAAGAATGCAGCTCATAAAACTTGAAACGAAGGAGAAATTTCCTGTGAGGCTGCAGACGAGGTCAGGACTTGTAAGAAATCCGGGGATGTCGAGCTGTGCTCCCAAGTTCCCCGTTGGGGCATCCTTATTCAGCTGGAGTTTTCTGATAGCTGAAAGTGGATTTTTTTGTCTTTTCTTTGCCCTCTCCCTGCCTCCTCGTTGAATGTAATGGATGCCTGAGAAAACGACTCCTGGGAAGAGGAATTTCACTCTCTGATCTCCGCTACCGGCCAAGGCGGGCGCACAGAACTTATTTTGAAGCTGGATGTTGCCTGAATTTAAGAGTCAGTTTTACTTAGAGAGGTGAGGCTCTGGCAGGGGAACCCCCAACCACGGGGACTTTCCCTTGCAGGGAGAGCGAGGGCCGCTTGCGCGGCAGGGAAAGGATTTTCCTGCTGCTAAAAGGCTCGGTTGCAAAAGCCAGATGGTTCAATCGACGTGGTCCTTGCTGACGTCCAGCTGCACTCGTTTGGCAAGGAGAGCTCGCCCGTTCTGGCGAGAAGCAGCCGCCTCTTGCTTGGCTGATGAGGAACGTCGTGTTTTGCAGCCCCAAAACCTTGCCGGCGTCCTTTAAGGGCTCTTAGCGGTCCTTTGAGGAGTCTTTGCTCACTGGGCAGGGCTCACTCCTGTGCTGCAGGCTGCAACTTAGAAAAAGGGCAAAAAACAAGACGCTCTGGCTCTTCGATGTGGGGCGGAGAACTTGTGGGAGAGCGTGGAGCCCAAAAACCTGGTTTTAGGCAGTGAGAAGCTGGAGAAACTGGGGCTTCGCTCTGTTTTTTTTGGGGCAGATGAAGACTGGTTCCTCTCTTGGCGTTTCCAGCGTGGAAAACTTCATGTTTAAATCAAAACCTGGAGCCTGAAACGGCAGGAGCGCGTGGAAGTGGTTTGGGGGGCGGCGGGGAGGGAGCGCTGGGGCTTCGCTCTGGTTTTTTGGGGCAGATTTTCCTCCCACCGAGTCGTCCTGGGCTGAGAACCAGACAGCCTTGGCAGAAATCCCCGGCAGCACGCTTGGCTTGCCCTGGCACGCCCCTGGCCTCGGAGAATGGGACCTTTTGGGAGCTTTCACCTTTTCTTTTGTGCTTTTATTTCAGTCGATAAGGAGAGCCTGTACCTGTTTGGGGGTGTCTTTTTTTTCCCCTGTGAGTTCCCCAAATTGAGCTGTGGTTTTAGTTTTTTTGGGGATTTTTTTCTTGCATCTTGGGTGTTTTTTTTCACGCAGGAGAGGAGAAGTCCTTTTGTTTCTGGTCTGCCTGAGCTTCCTTTTCTCCCGGGCAGGGAAACAACATTGCGGTGTGTCCCCTTTGTAGGGTGAACTGCCCCATCGGTCATTCTCTACTATCAGATTCCTTCAAATAAACCTCCTTTTTGGTGTTTTTTAATAACCTCCAGCTAATTGTTGGTCAGCTCTGCCTTCCAGAATAAACCACAGGCATTCCGTGCCGTCCCCGGGCTGCCGTTCGGGAACACGCCGGCTGCCGTGACTCAGAGACAATCCCCGACCCTTGGGCGAGTTGAAAAAACCCACGTCACGGCGTCCAAGCAGGTTTTTTACTCCCTCCAATTTCCAGGCCAGGGTAGGTTTCGGCTGCCCCGCGGCGTACGTGACGCGCCGTCTGCCAGGAGGCTTTTAAAAACAGAGCGTGAGGGCGGCCCGTCGCCCGGAATGGAAAGATTTCGTGGCGAGCCTGGTCTCGCCGTGGATGTTTTGTGCAGCCTCAGTGGGGGCTCCTGATGAGAGTTGAGCTCCGAGAATTTATCAAGCCCATTGTGATTTCTGTTAATTAGCGTCGCGGCGTTGATGAGACCTCTAGAAGGGAAATAATCATTAGTGGACCCCGGCCTCTTCCGAACATCTGCTGCTCGACTGCAGCTGCACGTTGAGGATTCCTCCCCTTGAAAAAAAGGATTTAAAGGATCCGAAGTGACTCTCCCTGCTGTGAGCAGCCGCTCCCCCAAACCTGTGACCCCGTCCCCATCGAAGTTATGGTCTGGAAGGATTTCTCCTGCGCTCTCTGCTTATATAAAATGAAATTGTGGCAGTTTCAGCGTATTTTCTTAGCTTCGTCCTTTTCGTTTCCCCTCCCCTCGAGTGGAGGAGCTGCAGCCTTGTCTGATTTTTTTTTTTTTTATTATTTCTTTTCCCTTTCTTGTTCTATTACATCATCCTGCTAGAAGTGTTAATCGAGTCCTGGAAAACAACCGTGTTTGAACATGCGTACGGTGGGAATCGGACCGGGCTGCCCTTGTGGTTTGCGTTTTCATATTTCATGTTACCAGCATTTTCCTGTGGATTCCGTTGAGCTGCGCTTGGCATGAAATGAAAAGGCGAGAGTCTCTCCCCGGCTTGTGCAGCGCCAACCTTCGAAAAAAACCAGAAACTGGAAAACTTAGAAAAAAAAACAACAATCCAAAAAAACCAGCCACTCTAAATCCTGGCTTTAGGAGCAAATAGATGTTTATCTTTGATGTCTGGCTGACTTATATACGTATTTAAAGCATGAAGCGCGACTTTTGGTGCCGTGGGGAGCGCAGCCCTGGGTTTTTTTTTCATGAGGGTGGGAAATCTTGGGGTTTGTGCTTGCCCCAGCTGCTTGCTTTGGCCCGATCTGCTCGTGGGCTTGTCCAGTCTCATGGGATTTGTTTGGATTTGGGTTTGTTTTTTTTTATTTTCTCCTTCCTGCGTGAAGTTTTACAGCAGCTCTCCGGCTCGGCACCGCACGTCTAATCGCTGCCAGAGAGGTTTGCTCCGCGTCTGTCTTCGTGCCCTTGACCTCTTCGCCTCGACTCTTCCCTGGGAGCTCCAGCTCTGCAAGGGTGGGGGAAAAAAAAATTCAAAACACCTTTCAGACAACAAATTCCTCCACTGGAAAGACAGGCCCTGGCTCCCCAACCCTGCTGCTTCAAATTGTATCTTTGCAAACTGTGGAGGCGTTTTGGAAGGGAAACCCGATTTCTTGAGGAACTCACGGTGGGTTTTGTCTGCGACAGTAATGAGATTAAATGTGTTTTGTTTTTTTTTCCAGAGATCAAAACCACCGTGGTGTACCCTGCCACGGAGAAACACCTTCAGAAATACCTCCGGCAAGAGGTGCACCTCATCCGCGAAACCCGGGAGGACTACGAGAACGTAACGTTGCCCTTCATCCAGTCGCAGAGCTTCAGCGTCCAGGTACGGTCTCCGACCCGCTGGGCTGTCAGATGTCTCCTTCTGTCCTCTAGAGCCTTCTTCTCGATCTTTACAGCAAGAAAAACCCTGTGTTTGCCTTGGAGACGTCCTAAAGTTGCCTTTCCTGAGGTTTCTGGAGGTTTTCTGGGCTGGGATGTTCTTCCCTAGGCGTTGGTGCCGCTCACCGGGCTTTTTAGGAGTCCCTTGGGCGTTGTGGAAATGGGAAGGCACAGACTGTTCTTGGATTCCCTGCGCTTTGCCTGCACCTCCTCTGCTCGTCGCCACGTGTCTGAGCTGTGCTCCTTGCCCCAGACAGTCACAACAGACTTTTTGTCTTGTTTTACCTCCTTTTTGACCCTTCCTCACCCCGTCTTTCTTCATTACACCCACAAATCTATAGGGGTCACTTCACTCCAGCCCGCGCAGGAGGGGCAATAAATCAAATCCTGGGTCTGCAGTTACAATTGACTCCCCAGGAGTTGCTTTCAGAAGCTGCCGAGGAACTTTCTCCTCTCCCACCGGGCGCTCGTGAGCCAATTTCTGGACGTGGGAACCATATCCCTGGTGACCAGCAG